GAAAGGGAATGGGCTGTGAGGGTAGAGACAGACTGAGGTGGAACAGACCCCAGACATCAGAGGTCTGTTTCATGGCTGGGGCAATGCCACCCCCACTCCACCTTCATTTTATCTCCTAAGGGTGGGATGTGGAAAGAAGTTGCATGCCTGTGGACCCCTCCTCCCTTTCTCTGCCACACAAGGTTCCTTCTGGGGAACACTCGAGGTCTAAGCAGTTAGCAGAACCTTCTGGAAGACCTAGGGAGAGTGGCTCCAGGAAAACGTGTGTCCAAAGGCTTCTGGGAGGGATGGGTGTGGGGTGGGGGCGGGGTCATCTGGCCCCGCCCCTCATTGGGTAACGGGCTCCTGCAGAGAAGCTTATGTACCCTCCTGGCCCAGAGGCCCGCCCTATCCACCTCAGCCCTGTGCCAGTTTGCTCCACCCCAGGGGTCCCTTCTAGCTACACAGAGGCTTCCAGAGCCCCCTAAACAGGCGGTTGGAAGAGACGTTGCAGCAGGACCCTGGCCAAGTCCTGTTCCTCCCTGGGGGTGGGGTGGGGGTGGGGAGGCAGTGGGGGGAAGGGCTTGCGTTTCGCCACCTGCAATTGGGAAAAGGCCTCTTTGCCTCCTGCAGGGGAGGTAGTCCTGCACGGAGGCAGGTGGAAGTAGCTGGAGCAGAAAGGGATGTGAGTGTTTGCCCGGGTAGGAGCTGAGCCCCCTAGACTCGCCAGGTGACCGAGGCCACCCTGTCCCAGGCACGCTGCCCCTCCAGAAGGGAGCCAGAGGCCAAGGCTGCAGCCCCCATGCTTCCCAGGCTGGGCCTTCCAGGAAAGCGGAACAGCATGGTGGCATGAGGTCCTCCCCGGGCCTAGGCCACGCCTACCTGACCAGCCAGCTGCCCTTTCCCCCTTTCCCAGGAGCCTTGCCCAGCACCTGCTCCAGAGGGCGTCCAACTCCACTGACCTACGCAGGCCCATGACGTCAGAGCTGACCCCACCCCATCCCCCCTTTTCAAGAAGAAGACTGCCCAGGAAAAGCTCCTAACCTGGGACCAGAGAGGTGCAGTTTCCTGCTCCTGGCTGGCTATCAGCATGAGGGAGGCAAGAGGCTGTGGCCCAAACCCTGCAGTGGGGGG